GGACAAAGAGTCCCTTGTACGACGAAACTGCTATATATGTTGTGTTGGTTTTTTTCTCCAAGCACTTGTTTACCCTGGCCTGGGACTGCCTTGCACTTGGAGTAACGCTTGCGAGGTGTGTTTTCCTGCTCAGCCCGAATCTATGCAAGTTGAGAACCGAAGTGCCAGGAATGCTGCCCTAGGAAAGTTTCTCTTCTGGCTCCCTCTCTTTTGGCTCTCGCCCATGTCCCAGGAGAAGAAAGCAAAGTTCAGTACCACTGAAGCTAGATCCAGGAACGGGGATTGTGCCAGAGAAAATGCTGCACCACAAGCATCATAAAATGCAATTCATCAGCCCACACTTAACTGTAAATTATTCTGTAAAATACATCTTTTTAATTCATTCTTAATTCTGTTCCCTAAGTAACATACAATGATTATGACCCAGTGGTGGGTTTTGGTTGTTTACAGAGTGTATGAATTTTTTATTACATAGAGGTCAGCCTTGGACTGACTTTTAAGTCTTTTTCTTGCTCCCACAAAAAGTATGTTAAGTCTTTAGTGCAAAGGTTGTTCCTTAAAGCAAACAGGAATACTGGAGTTTGAGCTGTGTTGTTGCTGTTAGAGTAACTGGTTAATTCCAATAAATCAACTAAATTAGACACACTGTAGCTGATCAACAGTATCAATTTAGGAAAGTAAAATACAATGCTTGCAGTAAAAATTAAAAAGCAGATAATGATAGAGCATAACAAAGGTGCTTATCTAGTCTGTGAATATATTTAAACCAGAGCTAAATATTGCCAAAAATAAGGGCACTGGGCTGTACCTTGAAAATCCTGAAATCTGGAACTGTCAATTTATGCTAATGGCATTAAAACTAACAGGAAAATTTGACAGAGGTAACAGCTTCCAAAATTATTTTTTTTATAAAATCAGTGACAAAATTCTTGCTAATTTCAACATGAAGAGCACTAAGTGAGTAACATCTCCAAGAAGGGCAAATAAATACTGCAGAGAACAGTGAAATTCTCCTGCAGTGTCAACACTGACTCTTTGGGGGCAGAGGATGGGTAAGATTTTACTGTTCTTAAGTAATGAAGAAACTAGAGACTTAAAGTATAAAGGTAGGCAGGAGTATGTTTTTTCTTTGTAATAGAAGATAAACTCAAATTTTGTCTAGACAAACATAGATTTTCATTTTTTATAACCTTATTTACATTTGCTTCACCACTGGATAATATATTGCATTAATCCAGCCAGAAAACTTGTCCAGCACATCCGGACATTCCTTCCAGAGGTCTGAAGATGCTGGAGGAGTGGGTGGCTGTCTAGCTCTGGGCTATGAAGGGAATGTTGTGATTTGAACATACATAGCAAATTTCATTTTCTCAATGGGAGTGGGGTGTGTACTCATCTTTGTGGCTTCAAATTACTACAAATTACTATTGAGCAATAAGCAATATTTTGAAGTTGTTTTACATAATAGGAAGTGTGCTTTTAGGCTATAAATAAGCAATGAGAAACACCTGGTGACTTCACTAAGTTCTATACTACTTACTGTGATAAAACTACTGGGCTTTATATAAGCATAGTCTTTTTGAAGAAAATAAGTGGAGATACTCTGCTGCTTTTTCCTAATAGTTTATTTTTCTTCCCTCTGAAACTCAGTTTTCCTATGTCACAGAGTAAGAATGTTGCCTTAAGCTTTCTTTAGGTAAGGATATATGCAAAGTAAATGGAAGTTTACCATAGCTTAAAAAAAAACAAACCCAAAAAAACCATACACAAATAATTAATAGATAATAGAGAACTATTTGGGGAGCATATTATATAACACAAAAGTTGGAGACTGAAGGAGTATTGTAGCCCATCAGATGAAATGTCAACAGACAAGATACCTCTGGATATCCATCTTCCTGATTTTGTAGGATTTACTATTGTTACTTTTTAAAAAGCTAAGAGCTACCTAAGTGCTGTATATACTGAAATATTCTAAGGGACACTTTTATTCCAGTATTATCTTTTCACAGAGTATGTAAAAGCATACACTGATTTAAAATCTGATCATAGCCTGGAAATTTCACTGGGAACAGTGTTTTCTTTGTGAATTATTTAGTACAGTATTGTATTTCCTGGCATGCATCCAAGCAAAAAAAAAAAGTGTAAACAGAATGTGGAAATTAATTTGTCATTTATTATTATTCATCACAACATACAGAATGAATACCCTATTTATTTTCCACAACCTATGCTTTTTGCATAAAATGCTGAGGTTATGGAGAAATAATGAATAAGGGACACTGAGAATCACTTAAGTAAATTCTTACTCTTCACATTTATCAGGTATTACTCTTTTTTTTCCTGGTGCACATCTATTTCTTAGTGTTTGGAACAGGAACTTATTTAAAAACCTGTATATATTTGTATTCTTCTGTTTAAGAATAGCTAATCATATAAAAAAAGTTTGAGTGTAATTTCATAAGCAGAAACCTTAAATCAAGATGTGATTAATTAGACGTATGGAGCTTAGGCAAGACTTCATGGATGTAGGCATTAGCCTTTATTGGTCAAGTAATCAGGTGTCGTCATAAATACTTGTACTCTGTTACCTGACTGTACTTACGTACTGTCACACATCCAGAATTACTACCTAGTTTGTAATCAGATGTACCTAGGGCTTTGAATCTGGTCTTTGTCCCCTGTGGAAAGCACCTGGGGGACAGCTGTGGCAGGGAAGGAGCAATGGGGACCTTGAGGATAAAGCTTAGCAAGAAGCAGCTCGAGGCTTGGTTATCCTTGTGGAACATCTGGAGTTAGAACACTCAAAATTGTTGTTTTGTTCAGACTGGACAAAACAGTGTCTGCTAGAGTTATTACTGCAAATACAGGCAAAAAACTCTTAAACTCAGCTAAGAATGTTGGAAGAGTTGTAGTTGCCAACTCCTTTTGCCTCTTAAGAGTGAAATTATAGTTTCCTTATGCTGAGTTGCATTTTCCCATTTAAAGTAGTCCTGTTAATGCAACAGACAGTAATATCTATCAATGCAATTATAGAATAGCATTACCCAAAGTCAGCAAAAAGAATAAATATTTTAACATAGTCTTACAGTTTTTCTTAATGGGTGGTATTCTGGATAGAAGAATTGGGCCCTATTCTTCCAATGTGACTACTAGCAGAAAAATCAAAATCCTATGCAAAATCCCTGATAGATCAATTTCAGGAGTGAGGAAAAGATAACACAAAATTGTTTACTGTTTTTTTGCTGGTTTTTTTTGGAAACAAGTTTAAGTTTTGTTGTTTGTTTGTTTTGGTTTTTTGTTTTTTAATTAGGAAGAAATCTCTCTAAAAGCTATATTTAAGCCTCAGTTGTATATTTGGAATAGGCTATGCTACACGTAGGAGATAAAGCCTTTAAACAGACTTTTTTTAGAGGATTAAAGGTTGAATTTTCCTGTAATTTGCCATGGAACTGTGTGAATGATGCTTGATTATTAAACTCTGAGAGAAGTTATCCTCTAAGACATAACTTGTTTCTGTTCTTTCTTCAGCTATTATTGTGTACAGACTGCCCTGGACCTGGAAGTGCAGCAAACTCCTAATGAAGTTCATACATGCTGGATTAAATACCATAGCAATGATTCTTGCAATTGTTTCTATGGTAGCCGTGTTTGATTACCACAATGCCAGGAACATTCCTAACATGTACAGTCTGCACAGCTGGATTGGGCTGGCTGCTGTTATATTTTATGCTCTCCAGGTCAGAATCTAACTGTATTTATAAACAGAATGTAAATTTGAAGAATGTGTTGGGTAATTCAGGCATGATAAGCCCTCATTATACACTGTAACTATTGGGATACTCATTTTACATTCTGTGATTTGGCAGATTAGCATGAAAATGTGCAAATAGTGGATCCTTGACTTCAAAGAAAATTTTACTTTAAAGCACCTTTGTTTTTTTACTGGGATAATGGCAGTTTATTTGCTACTCAGTTATTCAGTAATCTTTTTCTAAGCTCTATAAACTGCTGAAGCCAAAGGAAGTGATTTGGTTTGCTAGCAGTATATTTAAAAACAGCTAGAGCATTTATTAAGGAAGTCTCAGATGAAGTAATTGTTTTTCTTTTTTTTTCCCAGCAATCATAATTTTAAGTAGTCACTTCTTGGCCTCATGATTTTTGTTTATCAGCAGAACAAGTACAGCAGGGAGCAGTGCAGATCTAAAGGATCTGACATCTGCATGAGCTACTACTGTCTAACCAGTCTCCCTGAATCAGCAACATTTTGATAAATGTTCATGTGTATGCTTTTAACAGCTCCTGTTGGCAAAGAATAAGAGTAACAATCTAAAATAAGCTAACTTAGGATGTTTTGCATCTGGCATAGAAGAAGAGCAGGCCTGCCCTGACATACAGTGTATACCTGCAGATGTGATGTATCTACAAAGACATTTGAATTCCCTCTGTTGTGTTATTACACTATGGAAATTTATTTTGTTCCTTGAAATTGTGAAGAAAAATCCCCAGCTGAGGGATCCGGGCTCTGGACTGTTACCCTTCACTGCTCAGGCCAGAAGGTACAGGAAATACTATTGAAATGCGGTTTTTAACACATAGAAAAAAATAAAACATACTGTAGCACTGTTGAGTATAGTCTTTATATCTCAACAACAGCTAATGAATAAGAAGGAACAATGTTAAGATTTTTCCTGTCCTAACAATGCAGTTATTTCAGGGAAATCTGTGCTGCCACTATGCTATATAAGCATTTTTTCCAATTATTTAGGTAAAGAATTGTGAATAAGATTTGAATTCTTTTCATTTTGCTACATAATCATGATCAATGGTACTTAATGCCTTGCCTGTTTCATCAATAGAACTGTAGTGTTACTTCCTTCAAACTGGTATGTAAGTCTCCAGTCAGATACTGATGTTTGTTAAAGTGATTGAAAACTATTGTAAAAAATAGTCACAAAGAAGTACATCTGTTAAGAGAGAAGATATGTGGCATTCGCCAAGAATGGCATGTCAGACTCAGAACTGAACAATTATTGAGGATGGATGCTCAAATAATACTCTACCTACAGGAACAATAACGTAAATATAATGTATTTAAGCCAAATGTATAGTAATACAATGTAGCACACAGACAAGAATAGTGTAGAAATGTAAAATGGAGACTGTATCTTGGAAAGCAACGTCTCTGGAAATTATACGAAGCTCAAAATGAATTATCATGATGCTGTGACAACAGTAAAAGTAAATTCTCTAGTAAGAGATTCCCTTAGGTTCCACATATGGCATTATTGAAACTAGAAAATACTATGGAATAAATTTTTCTGAAATGTAAAAAAAAAAGGGCAAGAAAATCTGGAAAAGTAATTGGAAAAACTATCTCTCAGTGAAAGACTTTAAAAGCTCCAACTGTTCAGCAGATCTAAAGAAAACCAAGAGATAACTTTATTACTGTGTATTAAAAAGCTTCACAGGGAGAAAATATGAGGCTCTTTAATCCAGTTTTGAAAAACAAAACAAGGACTAAGACTGGAAGTTAAAGCAAGATGAAATACAAATTCTTGCACTGTTTCTAATTTAGCAGCAAGGATGAGCAACAGTAGAACAAACTAAAGAAGGGATGCAACCTCAATATGACTGGGCAGGCCTGTGACTGCAACCATGTGACATGATGGGTTATCTTCCATCACAAAATTAGCCCTAATGGAAGGGGGAAGTTATTTATGTCCCCTGAATAACTTCACAAAACCCAAACACATCTTCACTCTGAAAATGACAACTGATGTATTGAGAGCTCATTAACCTTCTAAAGACATGCACTTTGATTTAACTGAAACTCTCACAAGGTAAAAGTACTTAGTCCACTTATGTCAGAAGGTTAGACTGCCTTCAAATCTCAATTTATTTGTACATCTGTATTAGAAGCAGAGTACATAACTTGAAGAGACTAAAGATGCAGCTACTCAAACCTTTACATATTAGTGAATTAGTGACATTGAAAACTTTTGTTTCCAGTACTCAGGTTTGGTTGCAGTTTTAGCATTACCAGTAAGTTTGGACACTGATACTAGGTGAGATTATTTATAAAATATTTCAAGTCACTTCCCAGATGTTAATCCAGAATTAGATCTTTGTTTTTGAAGTTAAACACATTCAGAAATAAAAATGCCAATTTTTTTCAGATTTGTACCCAATGACATCTCAAAATGGTATTTTTATGATGATTTTTATTCTGTTAGAGAAGTGTAGCTTGTTTCCCATACAGCTTTAACTATGAATCTGTTTTGTGTTTAGCTTTTCTTCGGTTTCGCTGTCTTTCTGCTGCCTTTTGCTCCCGTTCCTCTCCGAGCAGCTCTCCTGCCGATACATGTTTATTCAGGTCTTACCATCTTTGCAACAGTGATTGCAACAGCTCTCATGGGAATCACAGAAAAGCTAATATTTTCATTGTAAGCATTATTTTTTTTTCACTTATTAATTAAAGTTATTAATGACAAACTGTACTTCGATTTGCACAGAATCATAACTGTTTTGTTCTTAAAAGACTGCCTACCTAGCAGGAGACTGCTGGTTTTAGATCAGGACTGTCTTTACAACAACTGACCTATTTTATTTTTTTTTCCCTCCAAAGGAAAAATCCTGCATACAGTACATCCCCACCAGAGGCAGTTTTTGTCAACTGCCTTGGTCTTTTGCTCATCGTGTTTGGTGCACTTGTTTTGTGGATGGCAAGCAGGGCCCATTGGAAGCGCCCCCCAGAAGAGAATGCAAAAGTTCTGCTGCCTGTTGGAGGGACTCCTGAAGGCACAGAAGAAGAATCCACCATGACAGATGGTAATAATGCAGATAAATCTGATCTGAGGATCAATAGTGAAGTAGCCAGAAAACAAAACCTCAAACTTGATGAGGCTGGCCAACGATCAACTATGTAAAGAAAATACACAGAATAAAAATACTATTACACTGCCAAACCCCCAAATTGGTTGATTCCAATTTAGTTATATTCATGTATAAATAGGTTGGGGTTTTATTTTTTATTACTTGTTTATATAGATATTTTATTGAGAATCTAAAATATATTGCCAAATATTTTCTATTTCAGAAGACTTCCTTTGCTTCTATTTCAGAAAATTTCTTCCTATTTCTAAATGTTCACAAGAACGTAACGAATTATTCTATTGTTTTGTTACTTGTAATACTCATTTGTAGATGAAAGTAAACATTTAATTACAATGTCTATTTTGCTTATTCATATTTGTATGTTAATAAAAACTATTTTTCAAGCTTATGATACCACTGAGTACAGATTTATATTACAGTAATAAAATACAACTTTGTACATTTGGCAAAAGATCAAATTATTATTTTGACTACTTTTTTGAAAACATGAGGACAGTTGTAAAAAATTTCTTAAATATTTCTTTATTCCAAGAATCCCTGATTCTGTTCCTGATGAAATGTAGGTATTCTGTATGTTAGAAAGGATAATCAGGATACAACAGAAAGCAAAGGAATTCACAATACAAAGAAAGAATCTGTTTTTCACCTTCTGATCGTAACAGAAACCCTTCACAGCATTTGTTAGAAAGGAAAAAAAAACCCCAAACTAACCTCAGTCATGAGGTTGCCATAGCAAAGAAGGGAAGATTGTAAATTCTGATGTATGATGGTCATATGGTGTGCTGTAAGATCCAAATACCCTCAGATAAGTAACAGCCAGATTGAACACACAGCAAAGGTTCTGACCCCATGGAATCTTCTGACCCAGAACTAACATATGTGCATCAATTTACTCATCAGTATGTTGTTGATCATGAAATGCTACAAATGGAAAAACCATCTATAACAAGTAAGAATTAAGGTATGTTCTTGAGCTTAACTCTTCTAAAAGTGTAAAGCGTAAACGGATTATTCCTGAATATCATACAGCTTTTGGTTCAAACTTCCCAAAATCATCATCATGGAAGAGAAAAAAATAGTACAATCATCAGTATAGCAGAAAACTTGCTGTATTCAAACCTGACAATTCCCTCTTGCTGGTAACTTCTCTTAACTGTCTGTTGTAGGCTGCATTTTTTGGCAGCGTTCTGCTAAAACAGTCCATATTTTTTCAATACGTTGATTATTACAGTATTCCATAGAAGCTCGACTATATATCACCCTTGAAAGAGGGGACTCAAAATTTTGGCAGGAGGACTCCATTTGTGCAGAGAAGTGGTTTTTCTAAGCAGTTAACAGAACCCTTGTAAATTTTGTAAAGATTTTTCCATTGTGCTATGGTATGAGCAGTGGGCAGTAATGAAGGCTAAATTAGTGTATGGGAAGAGACTGAAGTCCAGGTCAAAAATGGATGACAACCCTTCCAAGCAATGTGGCTAACAGAAGAGTTGAGGTAATGTTGAGAAAATCCAATTACTACCATACACCTATCAGAACTCTAAAAAAATGGCAAGGCCACAGATAACTCTAACAGAAGTAGAAACAACTGGTATAATTTGAAATTACCCCACTTATGTTAGTGAAATGGTGTCATCATAGACTATCGACCAACATAGGTTAGCTTGGGGCTTGAGTTTACAGTTGAGTCCACGGCCATGTGTACTGATTACTTATTGGTCTCAAATTCCATCTTTTGCCTATTGCCAATGCAAGCAATAGCTATAAATGTAGCTGGGAGAAGACAGATTAAAGTTGCAAAAATATTTGCAGTTTTTATTCAAACTTTCACTAGCATTTCATTCCAACAGAAACACTTCCATCTAGCAGTATGCAAAGTCTGCAGGATATTATTAGATAGTGTGGTTAGCAGGCAGATTTTCAAATGCTTTTGTAGTAGATGATGCTACTCATCTGTCTATACAAGCAGTAATCCACTAGGTGGCAAGCACTACCAAAACAGCCTTTGGCAGATTTTAGTCATCTTTAGATGACACAATAAGATGACTCATCTGTCTTAAAATAAAATTACAAGGTTAGTAGACATAAAACACACAGTCCTGTCAGAATTTAAATCTTTAGTTTTATATTACTTTAAAGGGCCCACTTAAATAGTTTTTGTCATCTCTTACATCGGAAATCGTTCTTTAATGTGCTCTACCTCAGACTTCTTAATCTCATGTTTGTAATTTCTGTGTGATTACAGAAAAGTGAATATAGAGCATAAAAGCTTACAGATAAGCTTGTACACAAGATAGGGAAGTAGCAAGAATTAGATAAAAAACAGGAACTTCCAGTACTTCTGCCATTTGATCTGGCAGTCTCACATAAAATTTGACCCTGACATAGTGACAATTACTGCAAATTTCAAATAACAAAAAAATAGCACTCCACTCTGATACATGCTAAAAGCTTCTGTTCTCAATGTACTCTACTCATGGATACTGAACTTTGTAAGTATGTTTTCTGATATATTCCACTAAATATACTAGTTTGAGTACTAATGAAAGGTATTTTGTATATGGTACACTAGTACTACTTCTTGATCTAAACAAAAGCGTAGCAGCTTTCAAAATGCTGCAGTAAAAGACTTCCTAGTTCTTTTGTCTGTACTGACAGTTTTACAGCTGGTGCCTGAAAATACGAAGAGCTACCCAGCAAAGAAGGCATCATTACACCTGAATCTGGATTAACTGTTCTCTGCTACCAAGCAGTGGGACCCTGCCCATGACATGGCTAAAGCTTGGGAAGAATTTGTCTATCCATGAGACTGTACACGTATAACCAAAGCAGTATGTGGCTCCAAGAATTTGCTTATGTACCTAAGCACTGCTATCCTATCCTCAAACAAATGAGAGAAAGTTCACATGCAATACAGGCAGTCAGCCATTCCCACACCAACAGCAGTTCAAATCCTGCACAATAGTGTTACTCCTCTTTGAAAAAAGGTATATTGATGTAAGAGTTGCTTCCAGAGTTTTTAGTGGATTTAAGAGACAGTAGAGTTCAATGTTTCTCCAGTCTCTGACTGTAGCTGTACTCTGTCCTGCTTTTTCTTGAAGGTCAATATTCTGGCACAGAATTACATACAGTGCTCATTTTGGTTTCTTCCGTTGTAAGCCTATAACAGTCACCAGGGAGTTTTTCAGGCTCTGTTTGATTCTCTTTTTAATTTTCAATTGCTACTCAGGTACTAACGCAGGGAGTCCACACGTGGTTTGAGCTCTTCACAGCAATGCCCAAGTCCCCTTCCTAAGAGGTGATTACAGTTCTGTCAGGTGGAGAGACATTTCTTCACGTTTCCCCTACAAAAAGCATTATTTTGCACTTAGCAATATTAAGCCTTCCAAGCTGCTGAGTTGCACGTGCTCCAACCACTAGATAACATTTCTTTCTTATTCCAAGCTCCCTTCTCCAGGACATTCTATTCCTAACTCTGTATTCCAAGAATCTCTGCTCTAGCAAACTAAATCATTATATTTCTAAGTATGTTTTTTCTGCTTTATAAATTTCCCTGGCTCAAAAAAGCACTGTCAAAGATGTGCTGCAATTCATTACTATGTTACTGGAAATGTAACTTTCAAAAACATGAAGCTTCCTTTCTGGATATATAATCGAATTATATTGAATTCTACGTCAAAGAGCTTATCTAATTAATTTTCATTGAGCTGAATAGGTTTATGATTCTTAGTTGTTGTAGTAAGTTTTACAACAGTGTTTTCCATTAAAGGCTGGCAAAAATACCCATATCTTAACTGGACTCTTCTGCATAGTTCTAGTTGCTGGGATATTCTGCTAAAGCATCTCAACTCTTCATTACAGTTTTGTGTATTTCAATCCCTAATCCACCAACTTCATGCAGTTGGACTTAAAAGGATTTAAAAGAACCAAGTTATGAAGGCTCACAAAATTAACAGAACAGTCCTAACCCTGCGTATTCCTGTTCTCTGAGGGCTTACTCAATGAAAAATCAGTGCAAGTTTGTTAAAATTGATAAAACAAACATATTCTGTCTCACAGCAAGGATAAGATTCGAATTAGCACATGGACAGAAGAACTTCCATGACCTCCTGCCTGTTGTATCTGACTTGTATCTTTGTCCTCCATCATGGTATTGTAAGTGTCAGCAGGGTTATGTGGTGAACTGTACTAGAATATTGATCCAGTTCTTCACATGACCATACAAACAGCCAGGTCAATTAAGAGAGGGATATGGCTGAGAATGAACATCCACAGTGAGACCTACTTTAGCCAAGAGAGTCAATGAAAGAAATGTTTATGTAAACCATACCCTAAGTCAAAATTACATGTATTAAAGTAACCTGAGGGATACTGTAAAAAGGGATCTACACTTGCTCCATTAAAACTGAATTCAGTTTTAATTAGGAGTTATTTAGTTAAAAATACTTTTTTAGTGCAAACAAGGCTTAATAATAAAAGACATTTTTTACATTGGCAAAGTCAATTCGGGAATAATGTTTAAGACAGAACACTGCATTTCTAAAATTTAAAAAATGTGTATCACAGATTTCCTGAGAATATAAGAAGTACAACACACTATAGTGAGCCTGCCATTTGAATTTGCAGCAGGAGAAAAACCAAACACAAAGTTTTAAAAAATCAAATAACATCTTAAAGTATTTTGTAGTACTGATTCTACAGATAATGTTACTTGGCAAGCCCAGAGACAGAACCTCATAACTGATCATTTTCCAAAGCAGGAATCCAAGTGACAGACACTTGTTTGACCACAGTTTTCAAGGAGGACGTTAACTTTTCATTTACCCATTTACATGTTGTCTGCCTGAGATGTGTTAGGACTTTTTTTTTTTAGAACTGTTGAATATCTATAATTGACTACTGAAGTCTTTATAGTTCTTGGAATTAATTTTAGCTACAAAATTAAACCACAAAGCAATACCCCTCAGTCAACAAAATTCAGTGTCATCTTGAGAAAAATAATAATTTAATCATTTTATACTCACCTACTTATAACTCCTTGAAAACTCTTAAAATACATATTTTATACGT